AGGCTGGGGATGGAGGGATGGGGAGCAGCCCCAAGGAGAAGGGTTTTGGGGGGCTGGGGATGGGGGGAAAGGTGGCCATGGGTTGGCAACATGGTCTGGAAGCCCAGCAAGCCCCCCACCCCCTGGGCTGGCTGGGAGATGCTTAAAGTGGAAGGTGTGGGGAGAAGTGACGCTCCTGAGGGATGGGGTGGCATCCAGAGGGACATGGACAGGCTGGAGAGGTGGGACCCTGTGACCCTCATGTGGTTCAACCAGGCCAAGGGCAGGGTCCTCAACCTGGGTGGGGGGGCAGCCCCCGGTCCCAGCCCAGGCTGGGGATGGAGGGATGGGGAGCAGCCCCAAGGAGAAGGGTTTTGGGGGGCTGGGGATGGGGGGAAAGGTGGCCATGGGTTGGCAACATGGTCTGGAAGCCCAGCAAGCCCCCCACCCCCTGGGCTGCATCCCCAGGGTAAGGGGGGGGATTCTGCCCCTCTGCTCCGCTCTGGGGAGACCCCCCCTCCCACCCAGTGCTGCCTCCAGCTCTGGGGCCACCAACAGCAGAAGGACATGGAGCTGTTGGAGCGGGGCCAGAGGAGGGACATGGAGATGCTGGGAGGGCTGGAGCCCCTCTGCTGGGAGGAGGGGCTGAGAGAGTTGGGGGGGTTCAGCCTGGAGAAGAGAAGGCTCCGGGGAGACCTTGGAGCCCCTTCCAGTCCCTCAAGGGGCTCCAGGAAAGCTGGGGGGGACTCTGGATCAGGGAGGGGAGCGATGGGACGAGGGGGAAGGGTTTGAAGCTGAAAGAGGGGAGATTGAGGTTAGATTTTGGGAAGAAATTATTTTGAGGGTGGTGAGAGCCTGGCCCAGGTTGCCCAGAGAAGCTGTGGCTGCCCCATCCCTGGAGGGGTTCAAGGGCAGGTTGGAGGGGGCTTGGAGCAACCTGGGCTGGTGGGAGGTGGCCTTGCCCAGGGCAGGGGGTGGCACTGGATGGTCTTTAAGATCCCCTCCCACCCAAACCATTCCATGATTAAAGCCTTCTGGGCCCCTTTGTTGCTGTGGATTTTAGAAAGGAGAAGGTTGTTGTGCCTCAGCTCTTGAAAATGCAGTTGTGAGGTTCCCTTCTTCCGTGGTGTCAGGGGATGGAGGTTTTTTATCCCACCTCCCGACTCCCAAAGCTGCTGGCAGCCTTTGGCAGAGGAGAGGAGCTTCCAGAGGACGGGAGGGATGACCCTCACCATTCCCTACCAGGGACGGGAGGGCAGAGGCGAGAGATCCCAGTTACTGCCCGGGCAAAGAGAACCCCCGTGAGGTGGGCACAGCCCCTTATTAGACACTGAAGAATCTCCCCAGCTGGCACCTGAAGAAAACCCGGCTTCATCCCTTCCACTCCTCATGGAACAACTTTTTTTTTCCATGTTGCCTCTGAAAGAGAAAGAGAAGGAGGAAAAAACATTTTTTTCAGTTTTTAAAGGAAGGCTCAACTTTCCGTCTTTCGGCTGCATCGGGGAAACAAAAGGGAAAAAAAATCTACAAAAAGCAGTTTCCAAAAAAAAATAAAAAATAAAAAAGCGAAGACATTCCTTCCCCACCGGCAGCACCCGGTCCTTTTTTTGGCCCATTCTAAAAACAAACAAGGACATGTTCAAAAATAGCAAAATAATAGGGAAAAATCCTCGGGAACCTGCAGGAAAAGCCCTGGGAACCTCCTGTTCGTGCCAGGGACTCGGATTCCCACTCACCTTCTCTAAATAACACCATTTAGGGGTACCGGGAATTATTATTAGGTAATTAGGTGATAATAATTAGCAGCAGGAATTATTGGTGACACCCAAAAGGGCTTCGGATGCCACCACGGCCACCAGCGAGCCAGATCCTTCCCTGGTGGGGCTGGATGTGGGTGAGGATTTTTCCCCTCCCCGGCTTAAATCTAAGTAAAGGAGCCTTAAAATTATTGACTGCGAAGGAATAATTTTAATTGAAAATCTTGTGAAAAGCTTCAGGTGGATGGGAAAAGGGCCTGGGGGGGTGGGTTTGGTGCCTGTTGCGTGACCTCCTCCACCAAACCCCCACAATGACCTCCATGTTTCCTGGAGCTCGCAGGTTGATGAAGAAGGATCTGCTCCAGGATCCGTTTTGGCCTCAAAATTAAGCTGTTTATTACTGTTTAGGAAGACAGAGGAGAATTGTCAAGGCTTTTTTTTTGTGTCTGTGTGTTTTTTTAATTTTTTAATTTTTTCCCCCCCTGCTGAATTTGGCATGAAAAGAGATCAAGACTTCCAGGAAATTTTGTAGCTTTGACTTGTTAAAAAAAAAAAAAAAAAAAAAATCAATTGGCAAGGGATGGTTCCATAATAACGCCTAATTGCTTTTGATATTTTGAAAATAAAATGATTAAATGTGCCTGGGGAAGGTGATCTGCAAACCAGCTACTGAGCACCGAAGAGGAGCTTTGGGGGTTTTTGTGTCCATACCCTGTGCAGAGCCCCAGCGTGTAATTACCAGGCTCCTGTTAACGAAGGAGGAGGAGACGGCGCCTCGTTAAGGTTCTGTGGTGGCGCACAGATCATGGTGTGGGGTTTGCTGCCCAGGCCTTGTCACTGTCACCTCCTGGTGTCACCTCACACAGGGCTTGCTGTGCCACAGTCCTTCTCATGGTCCAACCTTTTCGTAAACCAGGGGCAAACTGCTTTTTGCTCATTATTTTGGGCTTTTATTTCCCTATTTTAAGGTTTTTCCCTATTTCTAGCAGGAAAGCAGATGTCATGAAGGTTCATTTCCCCTCCTTGTCGTCGTAGTAATTGTAGGTGACGAATGTGTCTGAGCTGGTGCGGGGCCAAACTCAGCTCTGGTATAAACAGATCCTTTGAAAGGAAAGGAGTTTCTTTCCATCCATCCATCCATCCATCCATCCATCCATCCATCCATCCATCCATCCATCCAGCAATCCATCCATCCTTCCATCTGTCAATCCATCCTTCCATCCATCCATCCTTCTATCTATCCTTCCATTCTTCCATCCATCCATCCATCCATCCATCCATCCATCCTTCCATCTATCCTTCCATTCTTCCATTCATCCATCCTTCCATGCATTCTTCCATCCATCCTTCCATCCTTCCATCCATCTTTGCATCTGTCCATCCATCCTTCCCTCCATCCTTCCATCCATCCTTCCATCCATCCACCCATCCATCCTTCCATCTGTCCATCCATTCTTCCATCCGTCGATCCATCCTTCCATCCATCCTTCCATCCATCCATCCTTCCATCTATCCTTCCATTCTTCCATCCTTCCTTCCATCCATCCATCCTTCCATCCATCCATCCTTCCATCTATCCTTCCATCCTTCCATCTATCCTTCCATTCTTCCATCCTTCCTTCCATCCATCCATCCTTCCATCCGTCCATCCATCCTTCCATCTATCCTTCCATTCTTCCATCCTTCCATCTTCCTTCCATTCTTCCATCCTTCCTTCCATCTGTCCATCCATCTTTCCATCTGTTGATCCATCCTTCCATCCATCCATCCATCCATCCATCCATCCATCCATCCATCCATCCACCCATCTTTTCATCTGTACATCCATCCTTCCATCCATCCATCCATCCATCCATCCATCCATCCATCCATCCATCCCTGCATTGTAATTCCCTAGAGACACCCCAGCATTGAAACCCAAGGGCCGGATCCTGATGCTTTCCCCCCATTGAGGTCATCGACATCTTGGGGCGAAGCCATTAACTGGAGCGAGCCCTCCTCTGTACGGGGCTGTTTCGGGGGGGTCCTGCCCGGCTCCAGCAGCTGCCCGCGTTCCCCGTCCCCACTCCCAGATCTCAAACTGTCCCGATATTAGAGACACCTCAGCGTTGAAACCCAAGGGCCGGATCCTGACGCTTTCCCCCCATCGAGATCATCGACATCTTGGGGCGAAGCCATTAATCGGGGCGAGCCCTCCTCTGTACGGGGCTGTTTCGGATTCAGCATTCCTGAGTTTTCTTGGCTCCGTGCAGGAGGGTCTCACTGTTTCCTCTCTCCTTTGCTGCATATACAGAATTAGGGCCTCCATTTTTGCCCTTTTTCCCCCGCTGAACAAGAAGCACCGGGAGTGCGAGAGCCCGGAAGGGGATGAAGTGTTTGCGTTGACCCCGCAGACGGAAGAGAAATATAAAAAGATTGATGAGGAATTTGATAAAATGATGCAGAGTTACCGGCTCGCAGTGAGTAGCTGGTGGTCTGCAGCCCCCCCTTTAGACCCCCCCCTCCCGGATGCCTCCGGGGGTTGGGGGTGAGTGTGGGATTTTGCATGGCTTTGCTTCGGAGCCCTGCTGTGCCCTGGGAGCCGATGCGTGCAGCCCCCCCAGCCCCGAGAGACCCCCCCCGGGTGAGAGGCACGAGGGGCCACGAGGGTCCCTCCGTGTTCCCACCCGGAGCCGCAGGAACAGCCCTTGGGAAAACCATTCCCATTAGATTCAGCATTCCTGAGTTTTCTTGGCTCCGTGCAGGAGGGTCTCACTGTTTCCTCTCTCCTTTGCTGCATATACAGAATTAGGGCCTCCATTTTTGCCCTTTTTCCCCCAAAAAAGTGCTTTTTCCCTGTACTGACACCCCAGCATTCATGTGAGCTGGTGGTAGGTGCCGACATGTGATCTGGTGGTAGGTGCCAACCCCTCCGGCATTCCCGAGCTTCCTTGGCTCCGTGCAGGAGGATATCACTGTTCCCCCCTCCTTTGCTGCATATGGAGGATTAGGGCCTCCATTTTTGCCCTTTTTCTCCCCAAAAAGGTCCTTTTTCCCTGTATTGACACCCCAGCATTCCTGTGAGCTGGTGGTGTGTGCCGACCCCTCCGGCATTCCCGAGTTTTCTTGGCTCCGTGCAGGAGGATATCACCGTTCCCCCCTCCTTTGCTGCATATAGAGCATTAGGGCCTCCATTTTTGCGGGGGGGTCCTGCCCGGCTCCAGCAGCTGCCCGCGTTCCCCGTCCCCACTCCCAGATCTCAAACTGTCCCGATTGTGTTTTCAGACGTTAAGAAAGAAAGGTTTTAACGGCTGTGACAGCCCGGAGCCCGACGGCGATGACTCCATAGACCAGAGCCCCTTGATGGAGGATAAATACCGTAAAGGCAGCGAGGATCTGGATATCCTGTTCAAGCGATACGGTGTAAGTACCTGCTCCTTGGTCGGAAAACCTTCATTATATGTTCTTTTCTTTTTTTTTTTTGTTTTGTTTTGTATCCTGTGAGCTGGTGGTGTGTGCCGACCCCTCCGGCATTCCCGAGTTTTCTTGGCTCCATGCAGGAGGATATCACCGTTCCCCCCTCCTTTGCTGCATATAGAGGATTAGTGCTTCCTTTTTTTGCCCTTTTTCCCCTCAAAAAGTGCTTTTTCCCTGTATTGAGACCCCAGCATTCCTGTGAGCTGGTGGTAGGTGCTGACCTCTCCAACATTCCCGAGTTTTCTTGGCTCCATGCAGGAGGATATCACCGTTCCCTCCTCCTTTGCTGCATATAGAGGATTAGTGCTTCCTTTTTTTGCCCTTTTTCCCCTCAAAAAGTGCTTTTTCCCTGTATTGACACCCCAGCACTCCTGTGAGCTGGTGGTAGGTGCCGACCCCTCCAGCATTCCCGAATTTTCTTGGCTCCGTGCAGATGGATATTGCCGTTCCCCCCTCCTTTGCAGCATATACAGAATTAGGGCCTCCTCTTTTGCCCTTTTTCCCCCCAAAAAGTGCTTTTTCCCTGTATTGACACCCTGGCATTCATGTGAGCTGGTGGTAGGTGCCGACCCCTCCAGCATTCCCGAGTTTTCTTGGCTCCGTGCAGGAGGATATCACTGTTTCCCCCTCCTTTGCTGCATATAGAGGATTAGTGCCTCCTTTTTTTGCCCCTTTTCCCCCCAAAAAAGGCCCTTTTTCCCTGTATCGAGACCCCGGCATTCCCGTGAGCTGGCAGCGGGTGCTGCCCCCTCGCATCCCTGTAAGACTCAGCCCAGTTGGGGCTATTCCACATTAATTCCACACACACACCCCC